TGAAAAATAACTCGAATAGAAAATGTATGATGACCGTAGAGATAGATAGCAATGAGAATGCAGGAATCGGCGTGGAGGGATTAAGGCATTAGCGTTGCGAAAGCTGCATTTCTACTGTAACACGACTTTTCTTAACCCGTCGTCCCCGTTTCGTACATTTATTCATCACGATAAACTAATTTGCGCGAGACAATTACCGAGAAATTACGATCGTATTCATCGTGCATGCGAACGCCTACGAGGGGAGCAAATTATTTCGTTCGTCGGGGCCTGATATAATTAATAGCGGTTCGAATCGTTGTCGACGGCTCGTTATTGAGTAATCCGTTCACGGTGATCGACGATGGGTATGTAATTGCCGGCCGCGTGGATTTTCGCGTGTCGAAATCGAGAAGGCGAGGGCCGGTAAAGAGTTAGTTACCTGTAGATAATGAGTGACATTTTATTGTCGAGATCTCTCGATGCGATCGTGCGTGACACGTCATACGCAGCCGGTATAATATATTAACGTTAGAACTTTGTTCGCGATTATAAATGAAGCCCAGAGACAGATGGTCTATTCAAAGTGGTCAAATGTGTGTCAAAGAACGAGAAGTCTGTTTGCTACCGTCCCGTCGAAATGAATTTACGTTGAGCAATGAAACGCGTAACGAAGTAGCGGTATTACGCAAATTGTGTGTTCAACTTGTTTCGAGCAGACATAGTCGTTCTTCTGACAGTTTGATAGTTTTCAAATGCAGCGAGATAACCGTGGCAAAAAATTTGTTAAAAGGGTTACAGAAATAGATTCCCGCCTGTTTTGCTTAAAAAAGGAACAGGATGGTCGATCCTCTGATTCCCTCGCGAGGAGCGTTTCCGTTTATCAAGAAAATCAGCAATTAGGTGTTAGGTTTCCTACGCCGCGGTGGAACCAAACGATCGGAGGACAACACCGCTTGGCTCGCGGCTGCTATTCTTCGCGGCATCTCTTATTAAATCTCGGCATGAAATTCTTATTAAGCGTGCACTATCGCAGACACCCCGAGGATCCTCCGAGGCACATGCTTCGCTTTTATTCGGGGCTAACGTTCAAGGGAAAGGGAAAATATTATCCAACCCGCTGCTCTGTATCCACCGGCGCCGTGCCCTGGAATACTTACTCCCTCAAATTCAGATTCATCTATTCAGATTAATCTTCCAACGAGTATAAATCGTGAGAGCTCCTCTTTTCGTTTTATACAATCCCCAGTAACTCTTTGACTAAGAAAATACGATAGAAACACGTTTCAGTGATTTTATTATAAAGCTTTTAAGAAAATGTTTTCAAGTAACAGTCAGAGAATGTAGATTTAATCGCGCCTATTAAATGGCCAAATAGAATTTCTAAGTGTACTACACCGTTCCATACAAAGCATTCTTTTACAGTTCATACCTCAAAAGCTATAATATGAAGTGAATAATTAAAATAAGTAAAACAATAATAAATATTATTCAATTTCATGTACTTTGTTGTACTACTTCATGTACTGAAGTGCCTAGAAAATATATCTAGCATTTCATTAAATATCTTATCAATGACAATAATAAATAATTATATATTTTTATCTACGTATCCTGCGTTTTAATTATTGCTTTTACTATTCCTAAAAATTCCTATAAATTCTTTTTATATACTACAAAGGACAAACTAGAAAGCGTTCGAACAAGCCACTAAATTAAAATAAATTTGATGATACTAGGGTTACTATTAATACTATTAGAATACATTCTCATAGATAACAAAATTTAATGCCAAACATTGTTTAACAATAATGATTCCGATCGTATACCACGAAAAATATTAGAAACTCACATAATTCTGAGCGACTATATTTTCACGAAACGACGTACTATATACCGACGCAAAGACACTAAACTACTCGGTTAAATCGGGAATATATTATAGACCATAACACCAGATACAACTCGTTCCATCGCTTCTGGCGTCGCGTTCAAATTTACGTAGTCGCTGAATCGTTTCAATTAAGATGCTCCACACGACGTCGTCCTCGCCGAAGATAATGACGAGCACCAAACCGAGGGGACTCGATTCAGATACATATCCACATCTCTCATATCCTATCGGATCATCATTGCATCCGTTCATATACATAAGTTTAATGACGTATTGTAAAACATGTAGGCTCAGTCAGTGAGAATTATCATTGCAACAATTCATGATTTTTGCTATATAATTTATTATACTTGATTTTTTTTATTACGTATTATAATTTTTATAGTAGAATTATCATTGCAACAATTCATGATTTTTGCTATATAATTTATTATACTTGATTTTTTTTATTACGTATTATAATTTTTATAGGATTAAAATTCAAATTTTGTATTGTCATCTCTAGCATGACATACAAGGGTCAAAGGTTAATTATGATAGGTAACAATGATACGATACGAGGGTACGACAAGTGGATACGCGCGTTTCGACTTCGAAATCGGTTTTGATAGGATCGTTTCAACGGGAACGCGCCGCGCCGCACCGCGTCGCGCCGTCCCGAAGATATTGATTTCGAGAGGCACGGTGCTCCACAAACCTGGAGGCGAGCGTTCGAGGGATAAATCCCTCGGGGTAGGTGGCCCGAGGGGCGAAAACGTGAGAAATCGCGAGCGAGGGAGAGCTTATCTGCTATCTTGTCGGTTATTGAAAATAGGGCTGCTAGCCCAACTGCCTGCGAGCAAAGTGTCGTCGAATCCGAGTGTAGATAGAGGAACGATGCGCGAAAATCGAACAGAGGTGTAGAGAAGAAAAGAGGGGCCGTCCGCAAAGAAATGATCAACCATTTGTATCGATCTTTAATCGCGTAACTTTACAATCAAATTCTTTTTTAACGGTACCGAAAAAAGCATCACTGACTGTGTTTTGAGTCCCATTGGGCCCCCAGTCCCTCTTGACACTGCCACTCTTTAATCGCATCTTCTCAATGCGTATAATTTAAAAATCAAATCCTCCTTGAACATCAAGAAGAATTTAATTAAATATATATCCGAATGATTAGAAATCGATTTTCACTGATGCGAGACAAATGATCCTCGTAAAAAAATATTTAACGAGGACGTGAAAGATAAAGGCGTGGGTGGTAGAAGACAGCGCCGGTAATAATTTATTCGATCCATTGTGTACGAGACTAAGGAACAGTCGAAGCGGTATCTCAATTATAAAAGGTATCTAGCCTCTCCTTTATAATTACATAGCTACAGGAACGCGAACCTGTTGCAATAAACTATGCGCGAACCTATACAAAAAGACGCGAAAGTTCTTCGCGTGTCGATAGCTGGAAATGGAATATCGCGGCCGCGGCCTGGCATGAGTACACGCCTCCTAAATTCCCTTATCAAAGCCCACGCGCCTGAGCCGGGCTTAAGGGTGGAACGATACCAGTTGCCGGACGATCGCGACATAAATCATACGAAAAAGTCCCGATAAAGTATAAAGCTTAACATGGCCGAGCAGCGATACAGGGAAAGGTAGTTCTGGCATTGTCGTCTTGGTAGTGAGTGTCGTTTGGCGAGAGCGAAATTTTGTCACCGGTGAAACCAGTCCGGTGTAAATCACGAAAGGCGTGAACGGAACGGACAGGTCGAACAACCGTTAACCATCGTTCATTCCATATCTAAGGGGGTTAGCAAACGGTTGCTGTCCAATATCGTCTAAACGCGTACGCCCCCAGTCTGACAGATTCACTGTATAGACTAGCAACCGAGTTAACGCGAGCTACAAGCGTGACTGCTTGTCAAGTGGATTCTACACGGCAATTATTCTATTTCTATAATATTCAGAATGACGTTTCTTAAAAATTTCTATTCGCGTAAATTAGTCTCGACTGGAGATCGAATTACGATACACGCATTAACGTCAATTTATCAGTGTCTACTCGGTCGAGGCACGCGGTTAAACAGACTGGATTTAGATGTAACTTGAAGATTTTATCAGAGGCAAAGAAGTCGCGCTCACCGGTTTCCGGTGGCGAGGAACACACCCGCGTTGGCAGGACAATTGGCTATTTGAACCGGGAGACAATTATCTGTCCGGCTCCCCTAGATGCTACATTTATACTCTTCAAGCGAAAATAAACGTTTTTGAAAAACATTCGTCTAAATTATACTTGATCAGAGATCACATTACGGTACATACATTAACATGAATTTATTAGTACCTACTCGAGCGAGACACGCGGTGCACGTTAAACAGACTGCCACGGGATTTAGATGTAACTCGGCTGTTGTATCCGAGGGGAAAAAAGTCTCGCACCGGTTTCCCGTGGCCAGGAACACACCCGCGTTGGCGGGACAATTGGCCGTTGGTACCGGAGGACAATTATCTGTCCGGCTCCCTTAGACAATGGGTAGCCAACGTAGAACGTTATCGTGGGCCGGTCGCGTTACTTACAACACGTCCAGTTGCTTCCCTTTGTATTATAGTTTCTGGAAGCTCGTAAAGTTCGGCCAGCCGTTGCCTTTTTTTCTCCCTGTTAGCATTCAATTACAACGCGGCTCGCTTACCACGCACGGCAAACTCTGAGAAAGTCGAACGAGGGTTTACGATCGTGAACTCAACGAGACATATCGCAAGTTGGGACAACACGAAAAGTCCTGAAATTCGTCAATCCAGCGATTCTAATTAATGATAACTGGCTATATCGTTGAATTTTACAATTGATCAGTTTTAATTTGGCGTTGAAATGGCAAAAACAATGTCATATTCGAAATGACTCGCGTTCTTTGAAAGTGGAGACGAGATAAACTCGTACTGGTGAACTCGACATGACTAATCTGCCCGCCACGGAGAGTCTATTGTCGTTCGAAAGTGGAAAATCAAATTCCCGTGATAAGCACGGTCTGTTTGAGGAAGATTCGAACGGACGGGGTCGGACAAAAAAATTCCCTTCCATTATTCTTAGATGCTGCGTTATTAGAAATCTATACATTAGAAGCTTAGGGTGTGATCGTTATCTTCGCTGTTTCAGGTAACGACAGTGCCCGACGAGGGCGAAAACAGCTTTAAAATGCCCAGGGCTTCTGTGGTACACATGACTTCGACGGCGACCAGACCGCAGCACATGTCTCAGGTATCGATTATTCTTAATTATACCTAAACTACTGATTTTTATGCAACATGAGACATTTAAAAAAAAACACGTTGAAAAATATTATTATCTAAGCAGTCTATTTATTGGCTACTTGCAATTTATGATCTACTGGTGAAGAACTGTGTTCTTAAGGATATATTGGCTATACAGTCAATCCCACAAG